CAACATTCCCAGCAACAAAGAATATTGTCCCTCTGAGAAATAAGGCACAAGAAATTTCCTTTCTTGTCCTCCTCAGCAATACTGTTAGCTTGCATTACACCAGACCTTGACTCACTTTCTGAAATAAGTGCTACATGGTTAAGAACGTATTAGTATGTTTTTTAAAACTTACTATTATTGCTGGCATTCTGAGCTGTCTTGCAAGCTCATGCTTAAAAATCTCATGCTGCCTTAAGGCCTCTGTAAAAGCAGGGTATTGTTGCTGTTTGGGGGAATTAACTAGTAAACATTAAACAAACAAAAAAACTGCCTACTATTTAAAGTTTCAACTGGGACCTGAAAGAGTAAGCTAAGGTTTTACACTAGAGTATAACACAATAACATCTTGATTAATGTTGGCCTATGAACTGTTTGGGTAGCTTATATTCACTACTATTCAGGCCAGCTACATTCAGGCCAGCTCAGCTTTAATCTTGTTCTAACCTTGATCCTATAACTCCAAAAGCTATTTCTGTTCCCTGTGTGATACCATCAGCTGTCCCAGATTCCATGTCATGTCAGCAAAATGAACACAAGATTTTCTGTTCTGCACAGCTCTGGTGTACTCTGTCTCTTGCTCCCTTCCAACGATGACATCGGCTAGCAGAGCAATGACTCTCAGCGGCTGCAAGCACTTCTGAACTCTTTAATTTGGACAGATTTTAGTTAACTCCAGCAAGTATTTTGGTCCACGGGTGTTAAAGTGGTTTGTCATAGATCTTTACAGCCATCTCATTTAGTGGTTGTATATCCTTGACAGAAGTGATGAAGAATCACTGGGAGCTTCCAACTCTCCTCATTCCATGTTTTATGGAGAAGTAATAGCTTGTGTGATATGTGGGATTTTCAACTTCTGGTTAATTTTAGATAATTGCTATGTAAGCAAATGCCTCTGCAATGTCTTCACTGATATAAACCCATGGTGCTACTAAAATGGCTTCCATGGAAACCCAGGAGGATTAGTTCACAAATTTTGGTGGTCTCCAGTTATTTTTTAAGCTTAGACTGTTCACTGGATGTGCATTTTGCTTTGTTTTGTTAAAAAAAAAATACGTAAAAATAGCATGGAATGTGGTTTGCAAACCTAATGGCTTCGTTAAAGTGACAACAAAATTAAGCTGGCCACTAAAAGGCTGTAATAAAGGAGTAGGCAGAGTCCATCTGCCTCCCCACACCAAATCAAATCTTGTTCAGTAGCACAGTATGTCATCAGAGTCATAGAATTATGGAATATTTGAGGTTGGAAGGGATCTCTGGAGATCGTCTAGTCCAACCTGGCTGCTCAGAGCAGGGTCACCTAGAGCCAGTTACCCAGAACCCTGTCCAGATGGCTGTTGACTATTTCCAAAGGTAGAGACTCCACAGCCTCTCTGGGCAACCTGTTCCAGTGCTAGACCACTCTGACAGTAAAAAAGCTTTTTCTTTGTTTTTTTGTTTTTTTTTTTTCTTATGTTTTAATATTATTTTAAGTCACTTTACTACAAAAACAATTCTGGCAAAGTTAAGATACTGCTTGCCTTTAACAAAAAAAAATTAAAAAAATCACTGCTTATCAATTACCTAGTCTACCCCAGGGTTTACAACTTGGTTTTCACACATAATGTTACATCACACTTCTTCACAGTTCAGAAGGCTATGAAACCACTGAAGAGCCATCACCAGTTCGGATAGGAAATTAGACTATTTGTTCCTCTCCTGGTAAATAAAATAGCAGGAGAAAGGCTTATCCCAATCTTTGACCATACCAAATCCTGCAGACTTTTAATAAGAACACTAATAGTGATATACTTAAACTGAAGTTCAAGTGTAGGTGCGTGTAGCAGCACTTATTTTCTTGATTCCACATCCTTGCTGGAAGTTATTTCTTTTGTGACAAGTATTATTTAAACCTATTGCCTACTTTTCAAAAGTCTGTTCAGTATTAGCAGTATGTTCCGGCTCCTCCTCCTCCTCAGTGTTGTGTTGACTTTCTCTTCTCTACCTTTACTCTGCAGGTAGTGACATTACAATGTGTAAAGTGTACATCTACCAAGTACCTACAGGTCTGAACCTTTAGTCTGAAACTCCAATATGTAGGAAAAGTAGCATTTCACGAGCACTCTACTTCATGTAGATGTATGTTATCCAGTAGAGAACAAAGCTCCTTAAGATTACATACAGGAGTCACTTCAAGGCAGCGTGTCAGGTTCTCATTTAGAAAGAGACTGGCTCCTTTTAAATTGAATTGAATTTACAGTCTGTTTGGAAGCCACTTATCTCCCAAATATAAACACATCTAGTGTGCATATATACATATATATGTATATACATGCATGCATACAAACATTCTAGGTTTAAATGATTAAATAATAGATCTGAGCAAAGGTTAAATCCAGTAAGGGAGCACTGAGAGATCGTATTAGAGGCACGTACACATGAAAGCAATTATTAAACTCAAGCTCTGGGTGCACATTTTAAGTACTGCACCCTTGGACTGTGTAATTGCGCCTTCTCCAAATTCAAAAGGTCCACAGCCAAAGGGTGTGTATTACTTAAAACCTTGACAGATGTAAATAAATAAAAAATGAGAGAGTGATAAGGTCAACATATCATGATGGATGTCTTCTCCTGGTACATTTGAAGTTATAGTTTGCAGGCTGCTTGAAGGTCTTGTGAATATCTATCAGCACCAGTCTGCACAGGGAAAAAGAAGGAAGATGAACAGATGGCAACATTTTAGTGTGTGGATTAAAGATAAATTTAGTGCCAAAAGGGAATTACTATTGTTTAAAATGCAAAGCTTTCTATTTATTCTTCTCTAACTCCACACTTCTGTCAGTACAATTTCTGACAATCTATTGTTCTTAAAAGTGCTCCTTTTTGAATCTAAGGGTTTAATTATTTTTTTTTATTGTAGTACTACAAATAAATTTGAAAATCTGTCACACAGATAGAACACATAGTGCTGCAGGAAGCATGGACTTCAAAATTCAAGGACTGTCAAAAATAAAGGCCTACCAATATTACTTACCTTTTCACTAGATCCATCAAAGTCAAATGCATGAGGTTAGCACAACTGTAAGCATTTGCAAGACTGAAGCCAGCAGATCACTCTTAATACAGGATTTTTTTCCAGCTGCATTGCATGAGAATATTCTGTAAGTTATTTATATACTATATACTATATACTATATACTATATACTATATACTATAGTATACTATAATATATATACTATATATATTTACTATATAATATTATATACTACATATAATATACTGTAAAGGGCAGCAAAACTTAAAAGTTTAGTATACAATGTGCAACAGCTATATACAGGGTTATGAGATATTTTTTCCCTCTAATTGTCTTTGTTCATATTTTAGGACAAAATTAGGTGCCATGTAGAGGACAGTACACTACAAGTACAGAGCAGAGTTTTACACTTCACAGCTTCAAGATAACCTATTAAAATAAGACAAAAGTTTTATGTTTTAATAGTCCATTGGAATCATATTTGGTTTTAACATGTTTATCTTGAGGGAATAAGATTGTTTCTTTACAAATATGCTAGAACAGATTTTGTCCAATCTCTTCTTTTGTCATTCAGTTAAAGTTTATATTTCAATTGAATGGGTACTTGACTGAAAACTGGATTTTAGGGGCCCCAAACTGGACTTTAAAGGTTCTTTTGGCATCTACAAGACTAGCAGAGCAAAGTTAAAAGTTTGATGTATTTTTTTTTTTGCAGGAAGATCACTAGCAGAACTAGTTATGTTAGCAGGAATCCTGGGAATTGTACCCTTGAGTTCACTATGTTAAATGTAAGACACCAAATTACACTTTTGGGAAAGGCACCATCTGAGTCAAAGGAGTTTTAGCCAAATCTTAAAATGTTTCCTAGAACAGTATAATCTGTGGTATACCAGATATTTAATATGAAAATAAAACAGGAGTTATTCATTTTGAGAAAGCTACTGAGGGCTTTAATCTCCAATATAGGCTCTGGAACCAGTTAAAGTTTCTTCTGTCAGCTGCCTGCTTTAAAAATGCAAATGTGTATGTGTAGACTAGGGCACCTATATCCTACCATCTTCTGTGGTGGAAGTTTGTTTCTTTAAGAGCTTTCCATCCCAGGGAGGTATGGGGCAATCAGCAATTTCCCAGGACAACCAGCGGGGTCAAAAAGTGTTGCAACTTCTCTGTAGCATAAAAAAATGCACGTGGCCATTCCTGAGAAATTTCACCTATTTAGAGAGGCTATCCTTCATTTTAGCTTAGTTTTAAAGCACTTCCAAAATCTCCCACTGCTCTGATGAAGTGTTGTACCGTGCGTTTTAATGAGGCGTTAGGAAATGGCTAACTAATAACATTTTTTAATTTGCAGTCGCTCAGGCTGGTGTCGGTTGGCAGCCCGCGGTGTCACCCAGTGCGATGCTGTGAGCAGGTAACCTTGGGGAAAGGAGGGGAGGGAGGGAGCTGGGGAGGCAGGCGGGAGGGAGGTGCTGCAGCAGCCAGGCAGGGATGCTGCAGCTGGGGAACACTGGTCCTGTCTCCTCAGCCGTGCACATTTCCCCCACCATGTTACACAGATTAGCCCAAGCAGCCATCCGTCAAAGGACAGGGGGATACACATACCTCAAATATTTACGGTGCCTGCACTTTGAGAATGAGACAGTTCGTTCACATCTGTGAATGGGCCACTTTTAAAACATCAAAATAAACCATCTGGCTGCACAACTGTTTCTAATTACTTCCCTGCCTAGACTGTAAACTTCGGGGTTTGGCACCGGCCTCCCTCCCAGAGCGCTGCCCAAATCCCGCTCCCAGGCAGCTAATCAGAGCCACTGCAGCACGGGGGGAGCAGCCCTGGAGCTGGGCTTGTCCAGCTCATAGCTCTCTGCACGCCTGGCGGGTCTGTCCGGCCGTCTGTCCGGCCGTCCATCTGCGGGAGTGCTCCAGGTGCGGCGTAGCGCAGCTCGCACCATGTACGCACAGGGGCTGCCGGGGCTGGTGGTGCTGCTGCTGGTCACCTCGCTGCCGGCCGGTCACCCAGCGCCACCGGCCGGCCCCCCAGCCCTGTGGTAAGTGTGGCTCTGAAGCCTCCTGGGGGGTTGCGACTGATTTATGAGATGTCAGGAGTGTGGAAGCTGGGGCTGCGGAGGGAGCCGTGGAGCGATTTGTGAGCTCTTCTGCCTGCTTAAAAGTGACACTGAGGGAAGTGCTCTGGGTCTCTGGGGAACCTAAATAGGTGCTGTGTACACTGCGGGGGTTTGTTGCAATGATGTATTTCATGCCCCAGATGCAGCTATTTAAAGCAGTGAAGGGGGAAGAGTTGGATAGTGATGACTCTTTACACCCAAATCTCTAAATTCTGCTGCCTGAGTGGAGCAGGCGCCTAACCGCAAAACCCTGTGAGTTGCTGCTCTTTGGTGCAGCGGCACAGCAAGGCACGCTGCCCTTTGCTCTTCCCAGCCACCAGGGCCAGCACCTGCCTGCTCTTAGAGCCAGCAGCTCCTTTGCTCCAGAACCTGCAAAATCTAGTGTCTGAGAAGTGCAGGTCCTAGTAACCTGAATCCTCAGTATTCAGCATTGCGAACACCTGCTTTTGGCTTGGCTGGTCCTTTGTTCTTTTTTCCTACAATCCAGCTCTTGATGAGGCAACATGTGATTTTCCCTGTGTATGTCCTGATCTCTGTGTGCTCCAGTGCATGGTACAATTGCATGGCAGAGCTGCAAATCTTCAGATCTAGCATCTGGATTCTGCTGACTTTACTAAAACCACTGCCACAAACTACACTATTGCATGGAAAGCCGTGATTACTTTGGTTTCCTTTTCCGATGAAAGCATGGATCCTATATATCTGAGAAACAGAAGGATTACTTTGGCAAATGTATTTTATTAGCATCAACCATAGGTTTGCTTTTTTGTATCATATATTCCTGTTATGCTACCTAGATGTTTGGAAGTATACATATTTTCTAAACCTTTTGGAATAATTCAGATCAAAATGTTTCATGATAGATAATCGAACTATACATGTATATGCGTATATACCAGATATGCATGATGAAAAAGAAGATAAGCCAAATGCAGTTAACAACGTAAGTAAAATACAATATAAGCATTCCCGCAGGTAGCAATGAGATTTCTGACAAAAGAGAAGAAAATTGGGTGATTTGAGGCAGGTAATAGTTTACAACCATAACTGAAGTGGTGGTGTTAAAAACGATATTGTGGGGATCAGCTGATGCCATGGCAGGAGGGTGGTTTCCCATGAGCCAAGGTCCTATCGGCTCTGAGCTGCAGCCCCTGGCTTTGACCACAGCTTGTTCTCTTTGCTGTCCTGCGCAGGAGCGGTTTGGGTAGCCCTTCTTCGTGCCAGCTGTCTCGGACTGAGTCGGAGCTCAGGTGCCATGTCCCAGGGGGGAAGCTGTGCAGTGACAGAGGCAGATGCGAGTGTGGAGTCTGCATCTGCCAAGTGGCTGAGTCCGGGAAATACTACGGTCCGCTCTGCGAGTGCCACGACTGGGTGTGCGAGATCTATGATGGGAAGATCTGCGCAGGTAAGGAAGCCGCTATGGTGACAGAAGCTTAGAAAATTAACAGTATATATTATAACCAGAAATACGTTTGGAACACAGCACACTGATGCAGGAGAGACATGTTATGTATGTGTCTGAACCATGACTCTAAACGGGATTGTGGGCACATCCAAGGATTTCATCAGATTAAAGGATACAAGTCAAAGGCACTGCCTCTGCCATTAAATGGGACTTTGCCCAGAGTGAGCTTCATCTTCAGCAGGGGCAAAAGCAGGAGTTGCTTTGAGTTGGAGGCTCTGCAAACTGTGTTTTGAATCTAATACAGGACACAATATTGCTTGCGTTTTTCATATAATATTGCTGCATTTGAACTGCTTGCCTAATGATGACATATGGTATCTACCAAGGCTTTAAACTATCTCTGAACAATCAATTTTGTCCTGTAATTTATTTTTTTTTCTTCTCCTGCTATGAGGAAGAAGGTTTGCTGTAACAGGTACCACACTGAGGGCGTATAAATATGAAAACTCTGTTTTTCTCTAAGTAATGATAATGCTTTCCAAATAGAGACTTATAACAATGTAATTGTATTGTGGTTTCAGAGATTTCCCCACTGACACTGTATTCTTTAATGACAGATGAAATAACAAACGTTTCTGGGACAGAATTTAGTCCCTGCCAGTTGTTGGAACAACAACAGTTGTTGGTTTGCATCTAAACATTATCATTCTTTCATCTTTCCAGCTGTCTTTACTTAAGTTTCTGGGCTATTTCGGTCAGATTTTGGACCTTTTTTTTTTTTTTTTAAGCAGCTTAGAGTAGGATTTTAGAAAAAAGCAGGGAGAAGAAATGCCATCACATTCCTAAGGGGATTCAGCCTGGAGCTTGATGAAAGGGGCCAGAAGGGTACTTCATTTCTAGTATCCCTGCTTCAACAGCTTTACCAGATTCACACAAACGTGTCATCTTTTCAGGCCAAAAACTGCAATTAGGTCAATGGGAATGTTACAGGAATTCTCCTAGTAAGAGGACAATACAAATGCATTCCAGCAGTGGGTTTGGCAAATTTTGTAGGAAAAAAAGAGCAACTTATTTTAGCAACAATGTAGCTAAGAATAAGAAGTCCAATAATAACATGAAAAGATCAAGGATGGGATTATGAGAAAGGTATTTGTATCTGGCACCTATGACTTTAGAGTTTTGTGGAGAAACTGATTTATAGACTCTTTAGTTAGCGGTGTTAAGTCCACTTACGTAAGAAATATCGGGGATCTGCTGATCATTTCAGTGCTTTGCTGTCCCAAATGTGAATTTTCTGATTGGCAGTGTGATTTCAATATGCTTGCTGTTGTTGCTGGGGTGATTGTATAAAGTGAAACTGAAAGCTCCTTCAATTTTAATATTCTGCTACAAACTCCACTATTATGTTCCTGTTAATGTCACGAGCAGTGGCTGCCAGTTTTGTCAGTGCGTTGGTGGAAAGGGGTGCTAACAGGATAAACTAAACCAAGAGATTTCTGACAATATTTAGCTTTTGTGTAGCACTTCATGCAACAGTTCAAAGATGTGAATGTTAAGTGATTAAACATTTTTTAAAAAACAATTTTTTGTAGTTGTCACCTTTTGTAGCTGGAGTATTAAAGTGGCGTTACCACTGAGATGTCAAATAATTTAAATTCACTCTTCTGGAAAAAAAGTAGTAAGAAATTCAGTACAAAGTCATGGGGAGGGAGATAGCTGTGAAGGGCCTAGAAATTTTGCTTGTTTGGTTTGTTTTTTTGACAACGGTACTGAAAGTCCAGCTGACTTTGGTGGAGTGCAGGGCTGCCCAGCACTGCAGGAGAGTGGCCCTGGGTAGCTCCTTTCAGGGCTGGGACACAAGGTCTGGATCCAGGTGGTGAAACTCCTTCTTTCAGGCTGTGCTTGCTGCCCTCTTCATTTTTCCCGCATGTTTTTAGTCACTTAACTTTAAGTTGTGTGTATATGGGAGGAGAAGAGTGTAGAAAAGATGGACAGATCGTAGAAAAGATGGTCAGATCTAGTATAACTGGCAGGAGGCTGGTCCTTATGTTGTATGAGTAACGTCCCCCGCCACTCAACCATTCAGTGAACCACATCTTCTGATGTTTCTTAACATTACACCACCAAGGTGATTTCCCATGTATGAAATACTTCCCTTTCTTTGCATTTTTGAGCACGTTTTTGACTTGATGAAATTGTGGTTTCTCTAGGTGAATAGCCAAAATGTCTTACTGCAGTTCTATTCCTGTTTCTTGCTTTGTTTTTCTTTTTCCTATTTTTATTTTGATATTTGCTGTCCTATGTCATTGCGGGTCTCTCCTGATGAGTACAACAACAATAACTGCTGACTGGTACCACATGCAGAACTTCTAGACTCTACTTGAATATTCTTCTAGAGAGCCATGGTATTTGAGAATAATGCTGTTTCAAACAAGCTACTTTTCAAGCTGCCAGAGTGATGCCTTTTTCAAGTGACTGATGTCTGATGTTCATATTCAGAGTTGGACAGGCAGAGCTGTTTGAGTCACGAGTGCCAAAGATAACTGTGTTTCCCTGCCAGTCCGTTCAGACATACCTCCACTACCCTCTCTTGTCCCAAGCTAAAAAAAATACTCAGTTGCTCAATATGCATCTCATTATCTTCAAGGAACTTTCTGGGTCAGATCCACCTTCTGGACCAGTCGTTGGACACTCATATTCTGAAGAGGGAAGGCCTGAAGATAGAGAAGATGTCTGTCTGTTTATGATTTGCTTTTTCTTATCACCTTTTATAAGCAATGGGAAAGAGATTATGCCATGAGTAATGAAGAAGAGCAGATGCAAATGTGTCTGTCCTTTTACTCTCCCTTGAGACTTCTTTGCTCTATTTCCCTTCCATGATGTTTCCAGGTGCTTTAGAGGGAATTCTGATCTATTTTTTTTTTTGCCTTTTATCCCACTGAGATTGATAAAGCAATAGGTGATCTCTCATGGAGTCAGAAACAAAGAAGAGAGAAATAAAGTGCTGTACTCTGAGTCACCAAATCTTCTGTCCTCCTCAGTGGCCTTTTTATCTGCCTGCTGTATCATAGGGTGTAGAGGAAAGAAGAGTAGACTTCCAATACTGTCATTCTCTTTGGAATGTTAGTGACATCTTTATTTTGTCATTTGCTGCTGGTCTTCAAGGAGATGAGCTAAGAGGAGGAAGACTGAGTCAAACACTGAATCAAAACCCCAAAGGATTTATGCTTCATTCAGAGCAGACAATATATCTGTTGCTGTTTATTTGCAAATACTAGTTCTCACCTCAGATGGTTTCATATTGCATCAGGCTTTCTTAGCATAAGTGGAGCCTGTGTTGTGTGCAAAGGAATGTGGCACTAATTCCTATCACATCGCTGCTCGGTACCTATTTTTCTGTGGTTTTGCAGTATGGAGGAAAATCCATTTTAGTGAATTTTTTTTTTTAGTTAATCTTTTTTATTGTGCCTGTGATTAATGAAGATAGAAAAAGTAAGCTAAGCGTAGACTTCCATGGCCAACTGGAGTGGGAACACTCTAGATATTCCTAGAGAGCAGACAATGGAAATTGCCAGCTGGGACATGAGACAGTGCGATTGCACTGCTCATAGTTGGTGAAATCAAGGGGCAGATACGATTCAGTGACAGCATAGAGAGCGACATATGAAGTAGGTTCGTCTTTGCTCAGAACTACATTAATTGTCTTTGTTTTTCCATAGTTATTAAGATTTTACAAACAATTTTTCTTCTAAACTGAAATACCTTTTACACCTACTGAATAATAGTGGCACTGTGTGATTTACCATTGCTATAAGCAGTTGCTGGGGAACTCTTGTTGCTGCTGCTCAGGCCAGTGAAAGATTTTTCTGTTTCTTTCTCCAAAGCTGTAGTTGCTGTAAGTGCTGTATCTATTTTAAGACTAGTTCAGCAATATAATGGCAGTGTTAGTCGTAGGTTTTCACAGCCAGAAGTGTTATCATAGTTATGTGAAGGATAGAAAGATATCAGTGCCATTATTTTCCACTCTGTAAGGCTTTAAACTGTGCAGAGAACACAAGTGAAAAATTAAATTGACAAGGAGTGGATGTAGAAATGCAAGATAAATCCGAATTAAAGTGTTGATGTAATATGCAGTTATGCAGCCATGTGAGTTTATTGGATATATGGCCCTATGAATCAGTTGGAGAGAGTTAGGAAATTGAGAATGGAATTTGGAGAACATTTTGAGCTGAGGACTGCTCTTTGCACAAAAGCTGAATAGTATTTTTAGGCAGAGTATCTTAGTTGAGTTGGAAGCGCTCTAACAACTGTACCTCTGTATTCATACTGAAGGGAGGTCTGACACACTGATTTTTCTTTGAGCAGCATTTCTTGCTAAAAGCGTGAAGAAAAGCCAGTCTGTGACCTGTATTGATTGCCATTTCATCCAAAGTGAAATTCAAAGCCCTGGATTTTGAGAACAGGTGTAAGCCTCCTCTCTGTCAGAGGCCACATTTGCGAAGATTCAGCTGTGGCACGTGTGGTCGTTGGGGACACAGCCTCCTAAAAAGACCAAGTTAAAAACAGGGCTGGAGGCTACTGATGAAAATGGAGGTTGCAGTTCTTCTCTGACCTGGTTTGCTTTAGTCTGGATTTCAGAACTTGGCTTAAGTGACATTTCCTCCTAGAGCAGGGGTTTGTAGGTATGATAATAGCATACGTAGTCATCTCAAAACGGGTCCCCCAGATTCTGGTAGAAGTGAAATTGTGGTAGCGTAGACCTCATTGTGGGCTTGTTGCCTCACTAAGTGCACGGGGTCCTGGCAGACTTACAAAGCACAAGCTAAAGCCCGTATTATTCTCAGCTTTATGCTGTTGGTACCTGATGTAGGTAAAATCAAGCAGCCTTTGATACATCTAAAATTGCTGTATTTCCAAATGCAGCATGTACACTCATAACAGTGGCAAGCGAGGCACGAGGAGGAAACTCAGAGAGAGGCACTGCGAGGGAGATTACTGGA